CAACCGTTCGTCTCAACAGCCATGTTTGGAGATCTCATCAAGGCTCTCCCACAGCTCTACTGGCCACGACGCGGCTGCCATCACTTCTTCGAGAGTCGCCGTACGGACGTGATGCTCCGCCATTGCACGCTCAAAGGTTTCGAGCTCCTCCTCGCTGATCCTGCCATGACCCGGTGCAAGGGTCTTGACCCACTCTCGGGCCGATACGCATTGCACTGGAACCAGCTTCGCCTCTGCTCCAGCTTCGGACTCGGCCGTCCACTGAACGAACCCATACCGCGGCGCGCACAAGTCGGGATTACCGACTGCCTCGTATATTGTGCGCTTCTGGCCATAGCGTTCGCCGACGCGTTTCATTTGAGGCGTCACACCGCGTGTATCCCAGACGAGAGTCCACCCTGGCGAACGCGGTACTGGTGCAACGGCTCGATCAGTTGGCTCCGTATCGCCGTTCAACTTCATCTGAATGCTTTCTTCGTGTTCTGGTTTGGCGCGTGGTACCCGGGCTGAGGGAATTTTCCTGGGAAATGCACCTAGCTCGCCTCCTCCAAGCGATTGGAAACAGCCACGGAAGGGATAATCCACAACGTCAGAAAATTCATTGCAGGAGGTCTCCAGGAATTTTGCAAGCGTGGCCATGCTTTGCAGAACACCGCCCACACTGAAATGCGCGAGCTCGAGACCATAGCGGCGTGCATCTTTCTCAGGATCGAGGACAAGGTTGAAAAATTGATGTGCCAGATAGCCGGTATAGACGAAGACGGAAAGACTCGGCGCAGTTCCTTCGGTCATGACATAGTCGTGATCTAGCGTTTCGAATGTTGGTCCGAATCTAAGCTGACCAGTAGTCAGCAGGCACGAGACGGACAGTGGCACTTCCAGATCGTCCAAGAGCGGACATGCGAATGCAATAACCCGCTCGATCTTGGAGAGCGAAAGTAAAGCTTTGCGGAGAATGCCCTCATCGATCCAATCGCAGCCGGAGATGTCTAAAACCGTGCCGGATGGTGCAGCGTCACGGAGAACTGCGACGAATGACTCTTTGATGAGAAGACCGCGACGAAGGAACGGTTTGAGGTCGATAAAATTGTCGTATTCCGCATTCAGTAGGCGTACGAGGAGAATTGCGCCGTTGTGGTTGAGACGCGACTGCCTGGAGAAGCCACTACGAAGCGTGTCGAGAGCCGCACGAGTAAGATTCTGTCCATGAGCGCATCAAAGACAGCACCATCCGCCTTCTCCGCTTCCGGATCGAGGAGCTCGCCAACAACAGTAGAGATGGACAGTGTGGTGAGGCTTGGTATGATGGCCTTCGAGGGAGTACCTGTCTCAGGACCAGCCTTGATCGACTTGTACGTATAACCAAAGTCGCCCGGCCAAGTGTCTGCAAGAGTGTCGAGATCAATGAGCGGCGTATCGCGCAGAATCTGCAACGTGGATTCAATCTGAATAGTTGGATCACGGAAGTCGTCGTAGCATCTGTAGCGGACGGCTTAGACTTGGGCATCGGTCCTCGCACCAAATTGAAATATTTCGCTGACCTCAAATACTGCTCTCCGGTGAGAGGATGGAAGCTCTCGATTTCATCATCGTCCGTGTCTATATATTTGACGAAGGCAAAGCAGTACCGCACATTGGATATGTCGGTCACGTCGAAGACTGTAATGCCCTGAGACCGTTCAGTTCATAAAGCAATGGAGTAATGGGCCAAGTCACACTGATATCGTTGTTGTCCCTTTGAAAGGGATTTTTGTAGAGTTGCTCCGGCCATAGGAGCCTGTCCACCAGCGAACCGGGGTGTTTTCCATCGAGGTTGCAGCGGAAGCCGGTCATGAACACGCTATGAAGATACGGAGCCAACGTGATTTCACCGTCGTCAAGGTCAAGTTCGGCCGCTGATATGATGGACAGCTCGCTGGCGATGGTACGCGCGTTGAACGGGACGCGCATCGCGCTGAGCACGCGCGACGCACCCACGATCGCTGCGTCACCATATAGGCATTGGTTATGGAATGCTGCCAGGCAGCGATATCTACCATGCAGACGGGCAATGATGTAAAGCTGATGGCATGCACCCATTTTTTCAGGACTGGACGTGGGTGGGTGACACCAAGGATAGCTTGGTCGGAGTGATCGGCGGTTCTGGCGGCGATCCACGATCGTCCCACCCACTGCACGCCAAGCTTTGACAAACGTTGCAGCAGGCTGCACGTACAGGCTTCATAGGTTAGGGATCGAGGGGTAAAGCTCTAAAGATAGGGTAGAATCAGGGCACCCTCAGAGGGCAATCGTCTAGTACATGCGAACGGTATGATCAACAGTTGACCTCGCCCCTTATCTGATACATCACCTACTCGTGATGCTGCCATCGCCATACTTCTGATCCATCAATTGTGGACTGTGAGAGCGTATGGTAGAACAAGAAACTATCGTTTGATTCATTGAAGAGAAAAGCTCGTGGAGGTAAATAGGACGAGTAAAAATACAGCGACAGACTGTCCGTAAGAGAAGACAAGAAGAAACAAAAACGGCTATGAAAAACAAAAACCAAAAAAAAAAAAAAAAAAAAAAGTCCACGAGAGATAAAGTAGCAGGGGGTTTGGTATCTTACAACGTGAGGATGGCGAGGAGGGCAGCGACGATCACTGGACCCGTGCTCGAGACAAAGCGAGTCGACGCGCCGTTCTCGCGCAGCTGTTCTAGGGAGCCACCCAGCGTGGCGTTCTTGGACGCCGTCTCGTCAAATGCGGTGACCTTTCCGCCTATACCCGAGCCGGTGGGCAAGCTCTCTGTAGCGGAGGGTTAGCAACTTGCATATACGAACGGAACTTGTAAAAGGGCTCACGCGTCGAGGTCTCGACATAGGCATCCGCAAGACTCTGGCCGCGGCATTCGGCAACACTGGTAAGGTTGAACTTGCGGTCCGCGATGCTGGGGAGGAGGTAACCGAAGTTGAGGTGGGTCTCTTGCCACCAGCTATGCGAATGGCGCGAGATCGTCCCCCGTCCGCTGTCGCTCTTCTCTCTCCGGCTGATGACGCGGTTGAACCTATCGACGACCTGCTGCGCCGTAAGCCTGCCACTCGAGACGTCGCCCTCAAGCCATCGGCAAGCAACGACTCCGAATCCTCCGGCCCACCCACGGTATCCGTAAACCCAATCGGCGTCATCCCCATCGCACGAATAATCGCACGCAGCCGGTCATCGCTATCGCCAAGCGGCGGACGCACATATCGCGGCGTGACGCCAATAAGATCCTTCACCAACGCGCGCATGTACCCGAGCTCCGCCACGACCGCCTCGGTATGCTTGCCCGTCAACCGGTCGCCGCTCCAGCTCGAGATGCCGATCTGGTGCCCGAGCGCATACGCCGTACGCACGGCCTGCGGGTTCCCCAGCGCCCAGCGCGCGTCGACGAAAAACGTCACGCTGTGCCCGGAGGTCGCGAGATAGTGCAGCAACGCGCCGTCGTCGAGCCCATCGCGCCCGCCTCTCGAACGTCGCGGCCCACATCGTCGAATCGACGCAGTCCGTCGCGTCCGTCTCGCGTGTGCAGTGTGCGCCGCACGTCCACCAGCATTCCGTGTCGTTTGCCTGGGCCGTCACCGTTGAGCGCGCAGATATCGTATCGACTGGCAGCAGCGTTGCCGTCGAGCGTGTGTGGGCGGATGTCGGGCACGACGACGCCCGAGTCGCGAATCTGTTGCACCCATGCCGCGACTTGTGGAGTGTCGATGTGCAGCGCGGGCCAGTCCGACTCTTTTGGGTACTCGCCTAGCTTTGCGCTGAAGCTTTCCACTGGCGATATCAGGAATAATACAAGTTTAGATCAACTGTTTGCCCTTTTCATTATTGAACGAAGAGATATACGCACGGGAAGGCACGTCTGGGGCGTTGGCCAGAGCGGTGGGCTTTGGTCCAGAAGTCGTTGCAGGGAGGCCGAGCGGGTTCGCGTCTGACGCGAGTTGGGCGAGCGGGACGATGCTCGCAAGAGGGAGCGGTGTGGGCGACGTGACTGGGACATTGGTGACCGTCGCGCGCGGCGTGCCGGTTGCGGTAGCCGTAGCGGAAGGCGTTGCAGTGGAGAATTCAGATTGAGAAGGGGTGGTCGTCTGCCGAGCCACGAGGTGACCCAGCGACCGGCGTGGGATACGAGCGTCGGCGTTTGCAGAGGACGAGAGGGCGAGAACTGAGAAGAAAGCTACACCAATTGCACGTTGAAACATGACGATAATTGCGGGCGAAGCAAGAGGGTTCAAATGAGAAACGTAGGCTAGGAAATGTGCAAAAAAACTGATGAGATTGGAAGCTTGAGGCTTCAGGCGAAACGAGAAAGCAGAAGCGAAGAGATGAGGAAGAAAAGAAAACGGCGCGAGAAACAAAAAACCAAAAAGACACCTCAGGTCCCTGCGGTGTAAGAGAGAAAATGAGAAAGGGGAAAGAGAAGAGAATGCGACTCCGGTGCGACGGAGCTGCTTGTTAAACCGTTGGCACCGACCGGGATCTGCCAAATCTTGCCAGCTTGCCGCTGCGCAAAGTGGCGTGCGATTGGTCCCTTGATCAGGGAGCCAGCCGAATAGAACGGATCCGCAGCGTCAACCGGCGTTATCACAGTATCAGTAAAGATGCGCAGACCGATTAGGCATGTCAGAGCTGAGCTCGCAGCAGGTCGCAGACAGTCCCAGGCTACGAGTGGCCGTCGAAGTGTTGCGACTCGCGGCATTGTCAAGGCGCAGCCTGAGAACTGTTGCCACATTGCACCGCCCAGGAGGTCCACTTGCTCTATCGGGAAACGGACTGCTGAGCAGCACCGCAGCGCGCGCAGCCTCGACGTGGGGGTTTGCAGTGGAAGATCATTAACAGGTTAAAGTCAACAGAGTCGCCGAAAAGGCATTTGGCCGGCCGTGCGAGACTTTTTTGCACTGCAAACATATTGGATCCGCACTCACACAGACATGTTTTCGTTATAATGGTGAAAAGAGGAAGGCGGCGAAAAAGTTTTGACCACGGCAGGGGTCGAACCTGCAATCTTCTGATTCGAAGTCAGACGCGTTGCCTTTACGCCACGAGGCCCCGATGATGAATACTGTGCAAACTAGTATAACATCCGCGTTAGTGTTGTCAGCACAATGATCGCGCTGACATACAGTTGCGAAACTTGAGAATGCCCCTCCAGCTCAATCTGACACAACAAGTGAATTACTGCATATTTCACCTTAACACAATAGTAATAAAGTTTCTAAAATGCTAATGTAGATTGTTTAATGTGACATCGGTGGTTGGGAACTGGATCTACAAGTGGGGTAAGGTGTAACGATCCTGCGGCTGACACCGACATGAGCACATCCTCCTTGCGTGAACCATTAAGAGTGCTCGTACCTATTTCTTTGCAGTCAATACTTTGTATATCCTCCACGTGCACGCCTCAGGGCCTCAACACGACGTGGTAGCGAGTTGTACAGCTTTTTATGTCATCTGGTGAGATGTTATTCCACTCCTCCTGTGCGGCCTCCCAAAGGCGATCCAGATTGCGTGGACGTGGAAAGCGGTGTCCAATACGAGTCTTCAGCATCCTCCATACGTGCTCGATGATGTTCATATCAGGGGACTGTGGTGCCCAGTCCAAAACATCGATGTCATTGTCTCTGAACCAGCGGCAAGTTACCTTTGCCATGTGCTTAGGGTCGTTGTCCTGCTGGAATTCAACCTGATCTGAAGGAATACCATGATCTGCAAGTGTTCCCAAGTAAGCCTCCTCGAGTATTTTGATGTAGTCGACGGCTTTCATGCGCCCTTCGATGTGGAACAGCCGTCCGACGCCAAATGGGGTGATGCAACCCCACAACATCAGTGACCCCCCACCGTGTTTCACCGTTTTGCGTACAAATTGAGGCAGGAGACCTTGTCCAACACGTCTGCGGCAGTACTGTACACCGTCTGATTCCACAAGATTGAGTTTAGTTTCGTCGGAAAAGATGACAGCCTCCCAATCCCAAGGGATGTAGTTGCTGTGGTACCGGGCCCAAGCCAGCCGCTTCGCTTTGTGCTTAGGGGTCAGCAGTGGCCGCTTGATCCGCTTCCTGCCAGGGAGGCCCACTTTGCAGAATGCCTTGCGCACTGCTTGGGGTGTTAGGTGAGGGAACAGCTCCCGCTGGCAGTCGGTGGCGTTGCGATTTGCGCCGGACATGACCCTGCGCGCAGCAATCCGCATGCTCCTTGGTGTGAGTTGAAGCTTCCTGCCTTTATAAAGTCGCTTGGAATAGTAGTCGAAGTCGTTTTCCTCCATCCTTGAGTACTCGCGCGAGGCCGTGCGCCGGTCCATACCAAGTTCCTGGCCAATGTCATGGTATGACCAGCCGGCTTTCCTGAGCAAGACTATGCGAGCTGACTTGGTAGGAGTACAGACAACCATAGCGCGAAATGATCTAAAGAAGTGCTTTGTAGGGTGAGAGTGGGTTGAGAGGGAGTGGTAGAAGCTCAAGGAGCAATGTGACGAGGACGAGGTGCACGGCTCACATGTTCCCGACAACCTTTCACAACCCTGCATGCCGAGAAATTTCTAGGCACTTTTAAATTGTGTGAAGAGTGATATAAAGTGTAAATGAAGGGTTTTTGCCATTGATAAGCGACTATCTGAGAACAGAATATGCCAGAATGACGGGATGGGTCGGAGGGGCATTCTCAAGTTTCGCAACTGTAGCTCGCTGCACTTGTACGACGCTGCAAGGCAGAATGCACGAGAAATAGGACGCTGCGAGATGGTTCTATTGTTGTCATCTGTGTTTCTGAATGTCGAAGTGATGCCTTCCACCAAACAGATATGTCATGCCACAAGTCGAATCGTCCGCGCCAGTACGGCGCCGAGAGGGTAGGCGGCACCTAAGAAGCTACTCCATCCCCAGTGGCAGACACGCCGCCCTACAGACAAACAGCGCACGTATTCGCGGGATGGTGGGTATGAAGACAAGAAGATGAAGGAGCGCAGCCAGTTTCTAGGTGCAGGCGGTGGGTGCAAAGCAAGCGCTTAGGCGCTTTGCCTTCCGCGCGTCTAGACTCTGAGCGTCGCACTCGCGCCGGCTCACCACACCATTATTGCCCCGTGTCGGCGGCCTCGAGGGTTGGTCTCCTGATCCTTCCCTGCTCCAGGGCTCGCCGCCGCAGCCTGGTATGCCGCCGATATGCTGCTCACCCTCAGCCTAGCAGCTGCGCAGGGTTGCCCAGACCGGTTTTCCGCCCTCCCGGGTATCGCACAACAGACCGGGACACCAAGATTAACTGTTATGTTTGATATGCTGGCTTATCCTCTATCTATGCTACCACATTTATTCGTTACCTCGCCAATACCATCATGCGCCATCTGAACGACTTTCCAAGCTGCTCAATATCCCAACTGTTGTAGAAGATAACGCAGAAAGTCCGCTGATGGTCAGCCATTTGCTGATTAAATTGCATTTCCCGTGCAGAGGCGGGGTTGGGGTGCTAGTAAATGCTTACGCGCATTGAAGTTCTATTGAATTCGGAGAGTTCTGAGATAGTACATGCATCGAGATTCATGGCGCGGGACATCACAATATGTCGTGCCGCGTCATTTGCGCGGAGATTCAAGAACATAGCGATAACGAGGAAAACAAGAAGAGGCGAGGAGCAGGAGACTTTTATGAGATCGCAGGTGCACAGGCTGGGGGGTTTCACTCGTCGTACTACAGATATGGTTAGAATGGCTATCACGACATGCCCCAACTGCACTGACCTCCAGAACCATGCTGTTGGCCCACGGCGTAAGTATTTGACGCTTGTTGAGGTATTTGTAATGGGTCTGGCCATCGACATTGATGGCGAATCTGGCGGAGGTTCAGCCATCCAAGCCCCGGTGATCATTTAAGGGGATTCCCACCGCCTTAGAGTGCCTTGTACTCCGGGCGCACGCCGCAGGTTCTTGAGAGCGAAAACAGACTTGAGAACCTGCGCCATGGTCTTTGCAACTAATCAGTATGGTTCGACGGCTGGCCATTTCTTCGACTTACGGAAACAAGGAACTCGATGCCGAGAACCCTGAGAAGTGTGAGGGCTGCGCATCCACGATCTAAATGGGAGCAACCTACTGATAGACACCGACACCTTTGCCGAGGAAAGCGTAGGCCTGTCTTGGCCGAGTCGGGATCACGAAACTGGGTTCGGGGAAGACTTCGGTCTGTTAGGGGGTTTGATTCATGTAAGAGAAGGCAGATAAAACACAAGGATGCGTTCTCACGTTTGAGTTGGCCTTGGGGAGGTTCAAGTAGACTTGACCGCCTGCGGGCAGTTTCACATCAGCAGCCTCATACATGATCTTGACGTCGCCTGTCCGTCCATCTATGCATCAGCACGACTCAAGTCCAAAACCACAATCAGTCGACTCACGCTGCAGCCCAAGAATATGCGGGTCAATGCCTATATAAAGTTTAGGAGGTCACCAGGCTGCGTGACTGAAGCCGACGTACGCAGAGCCTCGAGAACATAGCCTTCGAAGAGAGCATCGACATTCTTGTCGCTGCAGGCGAGCCTGCTGAGCATCGTCTTGTGCTCTGCTCGCAGCGGGTCGAGGTAGAAGTCGACGACATTGATCAAACCTGCGTGCCCAGCATTGAGTTACAGCAAGTCGACATGGAATGAAACACACGCTGAGCATATTCGACGCTGCAACCGACGACAATCGATAAGACCATGTTGATTACTTCGTCCTCACTGTTGCCCCCTTCGTACAGGCTCCTGAGGAACTTGATCACAGACTCGCCAGGCCGCTCGCCCAGTGCGCCATTAACGAGGGACGCAACCGACAACTACTCATAACCATCAGACTCTTGTCAGAACAATATGATCTGTGTTTGCTCACCGCGGTGCGAGAAATACCACTCATATTCTTGCGAATATCTTCGAGGAGTGTGCTCATATGGCTGATGGCAGTGGAAGCGAGTCCCAGCTTCTCGGCTGGGTTGGTCTCCATCAAAATGTAACTGAATGAGGGTAGTATGTTTCTCGAAGTCAATGAACTTGTTCAACATACCCATAGACGTCGCGAAGCATCCGCTGCAATCTACTCTCGACGAACCGGCGGCGAGGATGTTCATTCGTCTTGAGCGAGAGTCCACCGACTTCGGTTGCGACCCAGTGGATGGGAAGCATGTTGAGAACATCCCGGACAATGTCGACCTGGCGCGTGGTGCTAGTCTCAATAAGCCTGTACGACCTTTCCCGGAGAAACCTGCTGGTATTCTCGTTGTACCAGGCTGCGGCACGCGCAACGCCGCTGCCTTGAAGTAGTTTCCCTGCGGCCTGCAAGAAGATCGATCATGTGCTACAATTGTGCAAAGGTGTAGAAACCAACCATTTGGTGGTACCTCCCGTCATCTACGTCACGGAAGAGCAGGAAAAAGCTACGAGGGAGCATGAGTGATGCCCAACGCAATAGCCGATATGCGTACCCCTTGCCCGGGACGATAGGAATGGCCTCAGGCTTCGGGCTTGTGGGACGGTTGAGGTTATAATTCCCAATGATCTCCAATTTCGTCAGAATCTTCTCATTTCCTTAGGTGTCATAAGCGGGAACCATGTGTAGATGCCTGGGAAATTCCGTCAACTTCTAGATATATCTGACGAATCAACTTGCTTACTGTTGTAGGTGAAGTGGTTTGGCAAGGTGCGGAGAAGGACTAGACAATTGATAAGCAGAAATACTCGGAGACGGTGTGCCAAAAAAACTTACGAGGGCCGAGCATGCTTCCGAAGCCGGCGTTCGTGGTATCGCGGGCGCAGTCGGCGAAACCCCACGATGTCAAGTTCGCCGCTGCATGGCGTTAAAATCACGATAATACACAGCAAGGGTTGAGCTTACGCGTGAAGTCATGTGTGAAGAATCTGTCGCCACGAGTCAAGGCAATGGCGTCTGAGCGGTCTCAGTTGCATGAATTGAGAGCGTCTTCGCAGAAACATACCGCCGAGGATAGCGCGCGAGATGGTAAAGCCTGGGCAGAGGCCAGCACCACGGCCCTGAATAAAATGAGGTTAGGGCTCTTTTTATGGCAGTAGAACTCACT